GGCACGTAAATATGATACAAACCAACTTGTGCAGAGCAGTACAGGCACTAAGTTGAGAACTCTTGGGGTGAAATATCTAGTTCTGACAGTGACAAAAATTTTAAATTCACGGTTCAGTATTCAGCCAGAATACTTGTAATCTGATTCCTGTTTCACTTCATCAGGCACCGCAAGTGAGGTTAACCTACTCAATAACAATGCCTAATGACCCATCTTCTTCATGAACAGTTAACACCCATACCCCATTTTGATGTCATGTGATTGATCAAGTGGTCTTAGCTGTTCAGTAACAATGCAAGCTGAGGGACATCATGATTCCATTGTCAATCTCCAGCGAAGCACAACAATCAGTACACTTGTACTAAAAAAAACTGCACCGCCACTGTATTTAGGCACCGAAGTCATCAAGGACAAGGCACCGACATCCTCAAGGACAGCTTCTTTGGTACTGAGAACGCAATCAACATCCTCACTGACAACCCTTTCGGTGCCAAAAGGCTATCTCCTATCGTGGCAAGGACATCTTCATGATTCCCAGCAGCATTAAGCAAGCACAGAGGCACAGTGCACAGGTTTGGCAAAGTGTTGGGAAAACACCTAATAATTCGGTAAAAACACTAATTAACAGGAGGTAAGTTTATTCATGATTTTCCATATGTTTGTTTCGGTTATTGAAATCAGTCAAAACATCATTTCCACATAGCGATGAGGATGCAGTAGAACTTGTGTTAACTTATATAGTGCTACAGTGTAAGGTCAGACTAACATTCACATTCAACAACTAATATCAGAACCATTTCACATTCTCAATCCCATCCCCAGTCCCCACAGTCAACAGTATATCTATGGCCGACAAACATAACAGTACAAGCATAACTGCTGATAAGCCATGGCTGAAAATACCGTTTGCTAATTTGTTGTGAGAGGAAAAACGTTGTTCCAGCCGGGGAAAAAAAAACTGTACGGATTATAAGAACAAGCGAACGGGGCCGAGCATGATCTCATTTCATAAGCACTGACAGTGACTCTGGTATCCGCCAGAACACCAAAGAATTCCCAATCGGCCAATGTTATTATCTCTGCGGGGGGGGGGGGGAGATCCCGTTCCCCACCCACCCGAGGGCGCCCTCGCAACTACAAGGAGCAGCAGCGCCCCAAATGTGATTCGGTACAGGACCGACGAACGAACCAACGAACGCGCCCACCGCGCGGCGCGCGGCACGTAACCGACTGGACCCCGCCGACGCGAACCGACCCCGCCTGACCGCACGAGACGGGGACGCTACAGCTACAGGAGCGAGGCGGTGGCGTACGGGCGCAGGCTGGAACTGGGATCGCCGATCGCCGGCCCGGCCAGAGCATCAGCGGCGACGACGAATCGCGAGGGACATAGGAGGAGGATGGGAAGTACTTACTGGGAGTCGGCGTCGGAGGCGCCGGAGCCGCGGGGGCGGGCGGCGAGGGTGGGGAGGGCGGCGACCGCGGCGGGACCGAGCCCCCCACCGCCGCCGGCGGGGTGGTGGACCTGGACGGCGAAGGTGTAGTCGGCGTACGCGTACCGCGGGAGGGCGGCGGCGAGGCGTGAGCGGGCCCGGCGGCGGTGGCGGCGGAGGAGCGCGCAGGCGAGGCGGGAGCAGACGAAGGCGATGAAGATGAGGCTGAAGCAGAAGCCCGCCAGCGCCAGCGCCATGCTCGGCGACACGCCGGACGCCATCCCGCCCCGACCAAGAGAGCCCTTCGCCCGCCTCCCTCTCGGCTGGGTTCCCTGCCGCCTGCTAGTGCCGCAGCATCTGTGGGGTGTGGGGACTTTTGTGGTGGACTGGACTGCTCGGCTGGTGGGCCGTGTCGATGCGGTGCGGCCTCGATACGATAGCTAGCCTGCTACTCGGATGCTGTTGCCTTTGCGTCCGCGCCGCCCGTTTCTGTGGCCTGCGCGCCTCGCTGCCGTGCCCACTTGGCCTTCAGTTTCAGGGCGGGGCGGCGAGCAGTCGGCAACGGGCGCACTAGCGGGAAAGAGAGAACGAGCGGCCGGCGTGTGTCCGCCGCCCCCGAACCCGCCGCGGCGGCGGCTGCGGACACGGAAATGACGACGCGCCGTGCATTTGTCAATTCTTTTTTTTTTAAAGAGACTTGCATTTGTCAACTTGGGTGTAGTGCAGCCCAGGATCTTTGCGTAATAGCGTGCACAGCGTTTGCTCGGCGGAACATTAGTGGTAGTAGTAGTAGTAGTGCAGTGAACGGAAGAACAGCGCGTAAGTTCGGATAGGATTACGCCAGCCAAACGAAAGCAAAAAAAAAAATGAAAAACAAAAAAGAGCTATATATATATATATATATATATATAAAGATGCGGGGTATCCATCCCCGTGACTCTCGCATGCTAAGCAAGCGCTCCACCATTTGAGCTACACCCATGACTGTAGTTAGCACCTAATAACCCACACTAAAATTACTTCTGCAAAGATGACATTGTCACCATACCATGTATGGGCTGAATTGGTCAATTAGTTGATGCGATTAGGCCCATTATTAGATCGTTGGGCTGGGCCTCCTTTCGTATTTAAAAAACAAGCACCGGCAGCAAACGCAGTCCTGTGTGTACTCTTGGACCTCTTGCCGACACAGCACATGGATTCTACTACTAACAAACATGGAAAGCATCATGTTGTAGCGCCGGATGCTAGCAAGCATCTGTGACGACCTCACGTTTTGATCTTGTTAGAGCAAGTATTATGGAGCCAGCAAGGCCGGCGGGGAGCACAGCCACGTCAGAAAAATCACTGCTGGCGGAGAGAGAAAAGGAGAGAGAGAGTGGAGCGGGCGGCTAGCTAAACGTCGACCGAAAGCCGGCGGATGCGCGCGCATGGAGCTTCATTGGCTGCGCTACTGCTGCACTCACCGTTGGTTGGCTACATGTGTTGTGTCAATGCTGCTGCTGCATTAAATGTTGTCCACGCTGGCGTTTATCCAGCCGGCAGCCGGCTGAACCATAATACTTGCTCTTATGCTCCGCTCAAAAGTCAGACCTGAGCGGGGATGGGGAGCCCTGCTGGTGGGTTCCTCCGCTCCATCGTGTGCACACACAACATATGGGGTCCGTTGAGAGAAGGAATGTTCTGGCTGCCTGCACCCCCTGCAAACAGGATATACTACTAGCACTAACTGTACATGTCTCGCTAAAACGGGCCCCTGCCATGCAAGACCCGACAGAGCCGACACATCCATATCCTTAGCTCGACCCGTTCAGATTCCGTTGAAGATACCAGCCAGCAACCAAAACGAAACACTCCATTCTACTCCATCCGTTCCAAATTATAAGTCGCTTCGACTTTTTTGACTTAACTATTTAGCTATGTATCTAGACATAATATTATATCTGGATACATAACAAAATGAATGTATCAAAAAAAATCAAAACGACTTATAATTTGGAATAGAGTAATTTCTAACCGGTGGAGCCGCATAGGCATCCCGAAACATCTATTTTGGTTGCCTGTCCACTGTCGAGTGGATACAATTTACATAACCGATACACATACACGGGATCGATACGGTTCAAATGAGCTTTAATTTTTTTCATCCTGTTGGATAGATTATTATGCAATGCCACTCGTGCTAGTTCACGCGTCACCCTCGCTCCAAGAATCTCTATATACGTACTGCGTACATAACCAAATACTGTATTCATAGATGGATGCAGGGCCACCGCATTCGCCCATCATAACCAATCAAACACTCTCTCTTTTTTTTCTCTCTCATGTCACTGTATCCACACAGCGTATTTTCACTCAGTTAAGAAAGATAATATACGTATGATGTAGGCATGTAACCACATGAGAGCGACCCAACGCTAATGAACCACTGAACTGACCGGGAGAAGATGAAGATGACTGAGAAGAAGAGAAGAAAGATGACCACCGGTGATGAGACGAGGGAACACAACACAAGCTGCTCTCACCTGCGGACAAATCCAATCAAGTCCGCGTCAGAGTAGTTTCCAAAAAAAAAAAAAAAAGTCCGCGTCAGAGTAGGCCCGCAGCGCGTAGGCCCACCGGTTCGAAAATCTGGGCTCCCCCCGCCGCTCTTCTCTTGTCTGCCATTCGTCTCGTCCTCATCGTCTAGTCTAGTCTTGGTGCCACCGCGTCGACAGCGCGAGGGGTTCGTGCGCGTGGCGCCAAACGCAAACGTCCGTCCGACCTGGAGTTAAACCTGCTAGGTTGTTATTAGGCGGGCCTGATTGATTATTTGAGAGATGAGAGTCGTTGCTTCACATCACGAGATGCGATGGGATTTTGAGATGAGAGACCATGCAAGCTTGACAGACAACAGCAGCCCTGATGATGCATGCACGGACGGCAAACCATAGGCTTTCCCGGCCGTAAGCTACTGCAGCCTACACTTCATAATAAGCGACGATATAACTAATGCAATGCAGAAAGGCAAAGCCATTAGGTCAAAGTCACTGATGCAAGTAAATTAAGGAACGGAAAGCAGCATAGCATAGCATCCATCTTGATCGTAAAGTTAATTGGAGTCGAATCTATCTAATCACGGTGGAATGTTCCTCCATGCACCCATCGATAGTGCGACGAAGGAAACAAACGAGATCTCGCCCCCGGAGAACAGGGCCTGCATGTTCCCCGGAACCGGAATTCTTCCAAGCTTCTGCTACCAAGTAAGTAGTATATTATTAAAAAAAAAACAGAAGCCAGAAACCGATTAGAAATGAAACGGGTCTCACGGAATCCCGGCCCGGCCCATCACCATCCAATCACCGCCCCACCTCCACCTCCACCTCCACCTCCCTCGTGTCCCCTTCAAATTAAAAATCCTCTGCTCTCTCCATCCAAAGCTCTGCTCTGCCCTGCGCTTCTTCTTCGTCCTCTTCCACGGTTCCACCTCCACCTCCACCTCCCCTGTCCAGCAGCAGCAGGCTAGCAGCCCACTCGCTCCCTCCTCCCAGCTTCTCCGCCACCCCCGAACCAGCACTGCCATCCGCGATGCCACCGGACGGCGACGCGGCGGGCGGCACGGGCGCGGACATCGCGGCGGACGAGCTGCAGAGCCTGAGCTTCGGCTCCTCCTCGGACCGCTCGCGCTCCCGCTCCGCCTCCACGGTCTCCACCGCCACGGCGTCCTGCTCCACCTCCTCGTCGGGCCCGCTCCACCACCACCTCTCGCTCCCGCCCCCTCCCTCTCGCCGGACCCCGACCTCCTCCTCCGCCGTATCCACGACGCAGATCCCGCGCCTCGGCGCCGTCGCCCTCTCCGACATCCGCTTCCTGCGTCGCCTCGGCGCCGGCGACATCGGCAGCGTGTACCTGGCCGAGGTCAGGCCACCCGCCGCCGCCGCCAAGGCGGAGGACAAGGAGAAGGACAAACACCCGCCGCCGCCGCAGCAGACGAAGCCGCTGGTGGTGGCCGCCAAGGTGATGGACCGGAAGGAGCTGGAGGGCCGCAACAAGGAGGGCCGCGCCCGCACGGAGCGCGAGATCCTGGAGGCCGTCGACCACCCGTTCCTGCCCCGCCTCTACGGCGTCGCGGAAGGGGACCGCTGGTCCTGCCTCCTCACCGAGTTCTGCCCCGGCGGCGACCTCCACGTCCTCCGCCAGCGCCAACCGCACCGACGCTTCTCCGAGGCCGCCGTCAGGTGCGTCGCCCACTCTCTCTCTCCCCCCCTGCGCCATGCCAAACCTTCGTTCGCCGCCGCCGTGATCAGCATTTCTTATTCTTATTACTCGCGCAACAACGAAAATCATTTATGCGTGCATTTCAAATCCGTACTAGCACTACTACTAGTAGTAGTTACTGAATTTGAAGATCGTATGAACATTTTTCAAAAAAATAAATAAATGTGTTTTGGGCTCCATTGACGATCCGTGGCTAGTAAGCTAGCGATTCTAGGCTTTTTCGGAGGAGAAGAATCAGGCAGGTTTCCTGCGGGTTGTGATTGCCGCGGCGCTCTGTCTGTTTCCTTGCCTAATAATTTTTTCCCACTATTCTACACTTGATTTTGTTTCCTTTGGGTACGGTGTTGCTGCTGGCGTAGTTTAAGGATCCAGTGGATGCAGTGCCGGCCCCATGTGTCTTCGGTTGGGCACGCATCCGCCTGGTTTCCTCCCTTCCTCTGAAACCTGCTGAATGATGAATGCGTTTCATCATGACCAACACACGCACACACACTACAGCGTTGCATCAGGTCGCTGCCGCTCTTGCCTTTTGGATGCGTTTGCAATTTTGCATCCGTCCATGCATCCCTGATGAAATGGTCCTGGAACAACCGGGACATGTGGACAACAAGACCATTTTTTTTTCTTTTCTCCCGTTGATTTGATGATGAGGAAAAATTGGATACTATACCTGACTATTATTAGAAATAAAGGCAATGGAAAGAAGGGGAAAAAAGATGGTTTGGAGACCAGATCAGGAAACACTTGTCCACCATGGTCACCACATTTGTGGCATCATCCATCAGAGAAAAATGCAGAGACTTGCGTTCGTTAGAGTTGAGGACTGGATGGATGGAGCTCACTGTCACAGGCTCACAGCAGCACAGTATATTGCAGTGCTTTTGTTGCCGTGCATGCTGTGACCGTGTGAGGACTGACTGTGAGTGAGCCTGAGCCACACGAGCACATCACATAGTCCTCAAGTCAGCCTTGGCTTGTCGTGGCTTCTACGACCAATCAGGCAACAGTGTTTTTCAGCCTCAGCAAAGCGAACGGGGCCCGAGCCTGTCTATGTGGGAAGTAGCAAAAGCTGTGTGCGTGCCACATGCGCTTGCACCAGTCGTCGTCGTGCAATTGCAAACCTGCAAACCCTGTCCTGCGTAGCGTAGGTAGCGGCGGTAACAAGCGGTAGCAGCACGTATTATACATCCTGTAGAGTACGTACATTCACGGATGCAGGATTTTACTTTGGCTTGCAGAAGACAGAGACTTTACTATACTACCAGCACGGCAGCACCAGCCAAGACTGTAGACTGACCGTAGTGGTTGGTTGGCTGGTTGCAACAGTGGCACTTGCTGCCTGCTGCTACGGCCGCTCCGTCGATTGCGGCATCATGGCGCGCGTGCGTGTGTCTACTTGCTCGCCCCGCCACGCCTGCCCAAGGACTGGACTCTCGAATCTAAATGCATGCTAGTACAGTACAGTTGACGCGGACCTGTACATGGGTCGTCCTGCAAGTCTGCAACGCAACCAGAGCGATGCGCGCTGGTGGCGTACGACGTCGTCGTCGCTGTCGTCGCGTTCGCACGGGTCGCGAATCCATGGCCAGCGTGAGACGCGGCAACGGTTCCAGGACACGTACGTCCGGGCTGCCTGCCACCAGTAAGTGCAGCCGGCAGGCGGCAGGGGCAGTAACCGTAGCGCTGGTAGGCGACCAGCGACCAGCAACCACTACAGTCGTCATCGGCGCATCATGGTACACCTAGGTCAGTAGCGCACGAGCGGCGGCACAGGCGCAGGAGGCCGGGGCCGGGGCTGACTGATGGCGACGGGCACGAGCGCACGAGCGGCGCCCCCCGTGCGCTGCGGCGGCGGCGGCGCAGGCGCAGGAGGTGCTGGAGTCACGCCGGCCGTTCCGCCCGGGAACGTGACACCGTCGCTACCCATGCAGTGCAATCAGTACGGTAGTTACTGATGCTCTGTTTATAATGGGCTAGATGACACTGTGCGCACTTGCTTAGTTTGCATTGTTCAAGGAGGCCTTTATTAACCCCCACCCCATGTGATCCTCGAGAATGACAGCTCTGAAACACATACACGTACACCTAGGTCAGTAGGTCTGACTGAGTAATTAGCTACTATAGCGCCTTGTTTAGATTGTAAATTTTTGCAATTTGGACACTGTAGTACGTTTTGTTTGTATTTGACAAACTTTGTCCGATCATGGACTAACTAGGCTTAAAAGATTCGTCTCGTGATTTACAACCAAACTGTGCAATTAGTTACTTTTTTTACCTATATTTAATACTCCATGCATGCGTTCAAAAATTGATGTGACGGAGAGATTGAAAAAATTTAGAATTTTGAGGTGATCTAAACAAGGCCTAGGTTGGGTTCCGTAGGGCATTTCTTGTAGGGACTAATCTACTAATCTCAGCCAACGAGGGATTCAGTTAACTAACAATTCATCCACACATGCGCTAGGCACATGGACTGGCAATTGGGTGCACACATGGGGTCCCTACCTTCGCTGCAGCTATAACATAGACCCACGAGTCTGTGTGATGCCCCCACCGTGCAACTTCCAACAGCCATGATGCGCCAATTCGAGCACTGTCCGGTGCCTTTTCCGCCGTCTGCTCTGCTGCCCACCTACCACCTACGTGTGACCCTTGCTCCCGTGCTCCGTTCGCTTGCATGCTGCGCTGGAGCTGGAGCAGAGCATACGGTCGTATCCATCATGCCGGCACTTGATTTAGACGCAGTACACGCGCCTCACCCTTATCGTTAGTCGTTGCACAGCACAGGTGCGCCGTGGCCGTCTAGCGGTCTGGAGTGGGCTCTTTTGGCTACATTACAGACGTGAGTAAAGCCATGGCCATGCGCTCCTCGCTTGCAAGTAGCTTTTCTAGCTTATAAAAAAAAAGTAGCTTTTCTACTACAGCAGACAGTACAGACGTGAGTAGTATGCAATTACAGTTGATGACGCGTGCTAAACGTAAGAATTGCAATCATAGTCATGCAGAGCAAACAAGCACTGTACGCATGCGTGATGGCTTTGCTGAAATCTGAATGATGAAATGAAATGAAGCCTTCTTAGTTGGTCAATTTTTTTGGAAAATAGTACTGTAGCACTTGCGTTGTTATTTGATAATTAGTGTCTAATCATAGTCTATTTCGGCTTAAAAGATTCGTCTCGTGAATTTCGTCTAAACTGTGTAATTAGTTTTATTTTTTATTTATATTTAATGCTTTATGTATGCGTCTAAAGATTCGATGTGACGGGGAATCTTAAAAAATTTTGCAAAATTTTAGAAACTAAACAGGCACTTAAACGAAACGAAACTTGAGATAGATTGTGAGCAAGAAGGTAGTAGTGTACTTTGCATGATGGCATTGCCAAGTGACGAATGTTTATAGCTAAAAACGCACGACTAATGCTGGTGCGTGAGGACTGACGACGGGTGCACGCAGGTTCTACGCGGCGGAGGTGGTGGCGGCGTTGGAGTACATCCACATGGTGGACATCGTGTACCGCGACCTCAAGCCGGAGAACGTCCTGGTCCGCGCCGACGGCCACATCATGCTCACCGATTTCGACCTCTCCCTCAAGTGCGACCCCACGGCGCCGACGCCCGCGCACGTCATCTCCGACCCGCTCTCCCTCGCCGCCCGCCCCGCCACCTCCACGTCCTGCGCCATCTCCTCCTGCATCGTCCCCGCCGCCTCCTGCTTCCAGCTCTTCCCGGGCCGCGGGCGCCGGCGCCGGCGCTGGCGCGTCAAGAAACCGTCGTCGACGTCGAACGGCGGCAACAGCAGCGGGCTGGAGCTGGAGTTCGTGGCGGAGCCGGTGGAGCTGCGCTCCATGTCGTTCGTGGGCACGCACGAGTACCTGGCGCCCGAGATCGTGTCGGGGGAAGGGCACGGCAGCTCGGTGGACTGGTGGACGCTGGGCGTCTTCGTCTTCGAGCTCCTGTACGGGGTCACGCCCTTCAAGGGCTACGACAACGAGATGACGCTGGCCAACATCGTGGCGCGCGCGCTCGAGTTTCCCCGGGACCCCGCTGTGTCGTCCGCCGCAAGGGACCTCGTCACCGCGCTGCTCGCCAAGGACCCCGCCCGCAGGCTCGGCGCCACCGTCGGCGCCGCCGCCATCAAGCGCCACCCCTTCTTCGCTGGCGTCAACTGGGCGCTCCTCCGCTGCGCCACGCCGCCTTACGTGCCACCGCCCTTCAGCGTCGCCAGCAAGGCTGGTGGTGGCGGGAGCAACGGCAAGGGCGACTGCGGCGACGATGACGGCGACGTGTCGGACGATAGTTGTCCTGGCACGCCCGTGGAGTACTACTAGAAGCAGAAGAAGCCAGGGAGAAGAAGCGTCGGCCGTGTCTGTCCGGCGTTGGTCGTACGGGCCCTGCCGGTCGGTCGGTTCAGTCGTCTGCCGGGGTGGGGTGGGCCCCAATCAGGCAGGCACCTCCTCTTGTCCGAGTCCGGCGGGGGCCAGGCGCGTGCACGTCGTGGGGGACGGATGGACCACGGCGCATGGGCTGACGGAGGAGGCAGGGCGCGCTGTCGCCTCAAGTGGCTGCCGGCTGCGTGTCCCGACTCCGAGAGAGCTCGAGTTCGAGCTCGTGTCCCGGCTTTACCCAATAACCTGGCGGCCGCGCGCCGTGCCATTGACGCCTGGCTGCCTTGGTCAGTAGAACCCTGTCCCTGTAGCGGTCTTGTTCTAATATATGTTAGGAGGTGCTGCTTGGAACGCAGGAAATATAAGAGGTGAACGAACGTCTTGTGTTCCAAGCAGGACCTGAGGATTTGTATCATGTTGGAATCGTGTCACTTGTTGTATTAGTATGTTCCAAGCAAGATACTACGTGCTCATCGTGATACTCCAGAATGGTGGGGGATGCAGGCATCAGACATGGGGCATGCGAATGATACGCGGTGCTGGGCTGCCGGCCGGGGCATCCGGCCGCGGCGTGGACTGGGCCAGGGCTGAGGCTTTGGGCTCTAACCGAGGGACACGAGACGCCGAGGTGATGATGAGGGAGGGGCGCAGTGGGCAGTGGGGATAGTGGCCCGGAGATTCCGGCGCGCCGCGCTCGTGCACGTCGGCTGAAACATCAAACACGTACTGCCGCGCGTCTGCACCGGTGGGCGCCTACTTCTAGACTGCAGCAGATGCAATGCAGCCGTGGTGCATCGCCGACCGGCCGATCGCTGAGCTACCTTTACCTGTTGCTGCTCAGGCACTCTCAAGTATAAAAGGTAAAAAGATGGGGAGCATGGATCGGAATGGATTGCTGATTCACCAAAGAGGTAAAGATGGTACTCCAGCTGCTGCACACTGCAAAAAGCAGACGCATATACCAGCGGCTGGGTGTATAAAGGGGGTAAAGGGCTGGATAAAGGGCGCAGGAACTGCAGTTACAATGATCATGCTATGTGACGTGGCATAAATAAAATGCATGCAACTCGGTCTACCGTTGACTCAGATGAAAAAGTCGCTAACCCAAAGCAGGCACCTTCCCTCCCTCCCGAAAAAGAAAAAAAAGGGAGCAGAGACTCCACCGGATGTACTCTAGCTACATGTGATGTGAGAACGACGTGACTGCATCTTCCCTGTAGGTGACCTCAGGTGTAGTGAACATGAGAGACAGAGAGAGAGGGAGAGACACGGGTCCGTCCCACTAGTGGCTCGTCACCCGAACCAGCGATTCTTTTTTCTTTTTGCGTCGATTATTAATTAATAATAAAACATTTAAAAAAATTGCAGCCAGTGATGAAGAATCCATCCACCATAATGTTGGATGCTCGACTCCAAAGGATGATGATCACAAAAAATAATATTAAAAAAAAAGACTCCAAGATGATGATGCCTTAGCCATGGGCTCATTCGACCGGATGAGCCCAGCAACGCAAGTGTAGTCGTCATCCTTGTTGGGCTGGTTTCAGCACGAAACGTACCAGCTTTTTGGCGGCCCCGGCCCAAAGTGATGGTCGCCTCCCAGAGTGCCGACCTCATGTCCTCATGGTTCATGTTTTTTTTTTGATTCATCATTGGTCATGGCTCAGCCTGGGCAATCGGTTTTAACCGACACATCGGTTTGGTTTCCAGAAACTAGTACCCGATCGGTTTGTTAGAAAATAAGAAACCGACAACTTCGGTTTCGGTTTCATTGGTTCGGTTTTCGGTTTAAACCGATTGATCTCACTAGAACAGAGAAGAGGGAGAGCGAGAAGCACAGGATCCCACCACCGCTCCTCTGCTCGTAGATCCCACCGCCGTTGGCTCCTCCTGCTCGCAGATCCCGCTGTCGTTGCTGCTCCTGCCGCCGTTGCTGCTCCTGCTAGTAGATCCCGCCGCCGTTGGCTCCTCACGCTTTCGAGATCCGCCGCCATTCTTTGCTGCTCCGCCAGATCCGCCGCCCGCGTCGCCGTCAGAAGTCGCATTGCCGCCGCCCGCCAAGGCTTCGTCCCATCCGGCGCTCGCAGCAGCCACCACGCCATGCCCCCACTCGTCTGCTCCGACGCTCGCTGGCTCGCCCGCTCCGCACCGTAGGGTAGAGGCTAGGGTTTGGAGTGGGCGAGTGGCTTGCCGCTCCCACTCGGCTGCTCGGGTCTCGACCTCATGACTCGCGTGTGGGTATGGGCGTATGGCGTGGGGGGGGGGACCGGGGAAGAGCGCAGGGTTAGGGTTAGGAGCGAGAGTGGTGCCATGGTGCGGGTGCCAGTGCGGTCGTGCGGCCGTGGGTGGTGGGCCGGTGCCTGGTGGGCTGGCGTCCTGGTGGGCCGGTGCTCATCGCTCAGCACTCAGCGGACAGTGGCTCAGCGCTCACTCCGGCACTTCGCTCAGCGCCCAGCGGTTTCTCGGTATTTCGGTTCGTTACGACGTAGAAACCGAAGCCGATACCGAACACCGAACTTCACGGAACTAGAAACCGAAACCGAACCGAAAAACCGAACTACCGACTTTTCGGTTCGGTTTCGGTTCGGTTCGGTTCGGTTCGGTGTTCGGTTTTGGTGAAAAAACGCCCAGGGTGAGTCATGGCTCATGTTTATGTTTGTCTCACCGTGCGCGCCCGGCGTGGTCGGATGATGGGCCAGTCATACAAAGACGACGCAGGCCCCGAGTGACCTCCCCCGCCGCATCCCTCTCCCGCAGACTCACTCAGCTCGGCTCGGCCGCCGGCGGCTCGAGGACCAAGACCCGCGGCAGGCAGGCGCGCGCGCAAGACCGGGAGATGCCTCTGCGGTCAAGGTCAATGGGAGGTCACTCGGGGAGCTTTCTCTTGCAACCGCGCGCACTTGCGGTCGACAGTGGTGTGACCTCGGCGAGCGGCGTGCGCATGGGGCTCGGTAGCGGCGACGGCAGACCGGGCGCGTGAAGCGTGGGCGCCGCCCGCGAGCCGGTGGGTCGACGCGAGCGGTGGAACAGGTGTGGCGCAGTCGGGAGCACCGGACCACGTCGCCATCGCTATAGTTGTCGTTTGTCGAGGCAAATGGGGCAGTGACATGCTGCACGCTCGCTTCTTATTGCTGGCGCCTTCCTCGCCTCCGCCGGGAACGCCTCGTCGATGCCCCGCTCCATGTCATGGCCGTGGCGGGGCGGCGGACAAGCATATGCCTAGGCCACCCGCTGATGCCGCTAGACACGAATATGCCGTGCGCGCCGCCGCCGCCCGAGGCGAGCTCGTTGCTGTTTTTTATTTTACATATTTTTTTATTTGTCACCAGAAATGGTATTTTCATGTTTTTTATTTTCAGATCTTTTTTTTATTTTGTAAGATTTTGTTGAATTATGTGAGATGGATTGTAAATTTGTGCAAGGTTGAGATGCAAGTTAACGTGAGTGAGTGAATCTGCGTGGCCGCGTCGGGGTGTTGGTTAGACGTGCGCAGTCCCGAGCTATGCGGGCTGCCGCGTATGCCCGCGAGAGAGCTCGCGGCTCTAGCGGACGCGGGGCGGGCTGACCGCCGCCGCGCCACTTGCATCTATGTACTAACACTATTTCTGCAACAACTTAAGGCAGTGTTTGGCTAGCCAGAATCGGCTGGCTGGTTGGCTATAGGTTCCAGCCGGAGCAGTGTTTTGTTCTCACAAAATTTCTGCATTAACAGTGCTTTCTAGTATGAACAGTAAAGATTTAAGTCCAGCCGAACACTGCCTAAATCGATAGCTCGTAACACTTGATGAACTTTTAAAGATAGTAAATTCAAAGGTAGATCCAAGAAAACACCAAGAGCATAAGCTTTCCAGTACACAACACAATCACAATGCATCTTTATATATAGTTATATAGTTCCAATAACTAAACTGCATAAGGTTTTATTTCATGTCGTCAAGCACAGTAGCTGAGTTGTGCACGTGTCATAAGATCTTCTAGGCTTCTAACTTGCTAGCCGGGTCATGACATTCTTGAGCTTGTGCGAGCAGCGATGCATGTGGTATTGTTGATGCCCCTGTTAACAGGTGTACCTTTTCAAGAGCTTGCATTCTAAGCTCTGTTGGATAATCCTTCACACACCCAATTCTAGGGCCAGCTCCAGTGCTCCAGTTTAGGGATAACTTGAGGCCAAGCTGATAAGATTCAGTCTCACTCTTGGATTTAATCCTCTCAAGAATTGCCTTCTGAGGGACATCGGTGGTGCCTTTGGGGATGTGTAGACCACCTGACAAGGTTCCACGGTATGTTAGCTTTGCTTGTTCTGTTGGAGCATCCTTGCCTTCACCACCTTCCTTTGTGTCTGTAGAGAGAATCACTTGCGAAGGATTGGTATCAACAACAACGTTTTGTGCTTCATTAGGCATTGTACCATCATGGTAGTCTTCTTTGGTGAATGGCCGCATCTGAATAACCAAAACAAGCGCCATATATATAATAAAACCATCTAGGCGGACATGTATAGGTAAGTCAAAGTTATGGTTGCATTGATGTACCTCAATTTCTTTGAGATTAACTCCATTTTCGTCTAGAAATTTCATGAAATTATTGAGATCCTCTGTGCTTGGTTTGTAGTGACCACTATATGCCCAGATGGACTGATCAAGATAAGATAGTAAAAAAAATCAGAATTGGACATGTAAATAAACACAAAATCAAGGAAAAATATGGAGTATGAAAAAAATATTATCATTTGCTCATGGATAAAAAGGAAATAGGGAAACAAAGTTGATGTTCTATTGTCCATTAGCTTGATAAGTAGCAAATCGAAAAGTATAGTAAGAAATATATAACATACCTTTATGCTATTCTAACTCCAGAAATCACATCATATATTTTTCAAATATCCACTAATCCTAGGTAAATATTGCATGTAATCTAGAAAATGTATACAATAGACATGAAATCAAGGAATAGCTAGGAAAGAAATACTAGGATGGGAGGGAGGGTGGATAGCACTATGTCACATAAGAATATGATACCAATAAAGTTTCTTGAACCAATAATTAATTATATCACAATAAAGCACAAGTTTTCATAGGGCATTATTGCACAACGACAATACTACCTTGATTACTCCAGCTTTTACAGTAAATTTCCCAGCCGCTATGGTGGCACCTCCTGCTAAAAAGCTAGAGTGCTGAAATACACCTTTCTCCTTCTAGATGAATAAATCAGGTTATAGAGATAGGTAGTGGTCCAAATCATAAGATAAAAAAAAATATGATAAAAGACTGTTTCTTAGCAATGCGCACATGGAAATCCTTGTAAAAGTAGACAAGCTACCTTGCCAGCATAAAGTCTTCTTGCTGTGCTCATGACAAAAATCCAATAAGCCTCTTTAGGACCTTGGTTTGTATCAAGTGGTTCTCCAGATTGCTTATGGATAATTTTTCCCTCGGTAATAATGTATTCATAGAGCTCACGTTCTTTCTACAAAACATTTAGGAAATATATGAGCATACAACCACTTGCTAATAGGTTTACTAGAAACAAAATGAAGACATGGAAACTTACAACCACTTGCGAATAGGTATACTAGAAATAAAATGAAGACATGTAATTCACTTTTCCAGTTCTTAGTGTTGTGTTGTTTTTGAACTCGAAAGTTTTTATAGATGTCATGATTCATGATGAAAAGGAATAATTGTGTGATAATACGTAGACCAGGAATGCCCAATTATATTCCTGTTTCTTGTGTAACAACAATCGAGACTTGATGCCATCTAAAATGCAGTTTGCATTGTATACAAGGTAACATAACAGTAATAACAATATTACAAGAAACCTAACAAAAGTTTGTTGAGCTTGAGATTTTTTTTTAAAAAAAAATGATCACTTGTGTTTATACTAAAAGGATAGTGGTATTTAATTACAAAACTTTATCTGGACCAAAGTCAGGGTGTGTTGGTGGTGAACTTCATCAAGCCCTTATACAACTCTTCTTGAAATACTTTGATCATAATATATATGATTTTTAGATAGATAGCCATCCATAGTAGAACATTTCTTACAGGACCAAGATATCTTATGCATTGCTTCTTCAGCAAAGTTCTTGGACACTCGGGAAGATCCACATCTTTTCCATCCCCGACATCAAGCCTACAAATGCATAGGAGCTCGCTGAAATTTCCAGCAATAACACTACCAATTGATACCTCCAAACATTTTTTTATGTATCTCTATTGTCATATATATGTTATATGCAAATTGCTTCAATTTGTTCCACAAATGCAACATGCAAATATTACAAGTTCTCACCAATAGAAGAAGGGCTGACCAGCTTGGCTTTGGCACCATAAATTATAGTAGAAGTGCAGGTTGTGCCCGGAGCGATGTCGTGAGTCAATCTACACAATAACAAATGTATATAGTGATATCATGCCACCATTAATTCTAAAATGTTGCAAATAAAAAAATTTATAGAGAGATTGAAAGAAATTTGTCTAAGAGCAATATGTGGACTTCTAATGATTAGTGTTCACACTAAGTAAAATTTTCAAATCAAGTGATATTGGAAAGTGACCTCTTTTCACCCACATGTAGACACATCAGAAAATCTTAAGAATACTATTGTAGTAAAATGGATTTTGTGGATAAATATTAGTGGGTTTGTAGTAATGTACTCACAGCCTCGATCCAGTGCTCAAAAGCCAACTTGAGAGCCTTGGCCTCCCTGGAGAGACCGTGACCCACCTGTGTCAGGCACATAAGTGGTGGCCAAAAGTTATCAATATAAGAACAATATGTATGAGAACTCTGAACAAGAGCAGATATCCTAAAATGTATGGTTAATCAAGATTTTTGAGGTAGCAACTGAGACAACCTTCAACACGTTTTGGCTAATACGATTCCAATGCATGGCAGCAGTCTTAGGCTTGGGTTCGTCGAAGAAGGAGATAGTGTTGTAGTTAAGTCGCGCGAAGTCCAGTGCTTGCCACCTTCATTAATCCATCAAATCCATAAACCCCTCGATGTAAATTAAAAGTTATTTAAATACAGTAAGAATCAATTCAGTTTTCTTGGAACACCAGAATATTTGAGAAATGAGATTTTTTTTCATGGAACAAATCATACATATGTGATAGAAAAATTCTAGATTTTTTTATATGTTAAAATAGAAACAAAATAAAAATGGTGGATTTTGATCTAATATGTTTTTTCCATTCTGGGTTTGCTCCAAATTAACTTCATAACTGGATGCAAACTATTTAATTTGATCACCTCTTATATAGGAGTTCAGACCATTTGGAAAGTGCAAGCTGAAATCTAGAATCCACATTATATTTTCTAAGGGCCTGTTTGGAACAGAGGAATGTAAAACGTAGGAATCGGAGAAAACACAGGAATAGGAAAGGAATAGAGGTGTAAAACAGAGGATTGAAAAATACAGGATTTTTATAGGGATTGGTGTTTGGAACACAGGAATACTAATAACATAGAAATATATTGGTTTGCAGTAAGCATAGTTGTTTAGAGTAAATAAGAGCTAACTACTGCTGCTGTCTTTTTTCTCTTCCTCACTGCAATAGCAGCACCCGTCATCATGAGTTTTGATGGTGAGCAGGATGCTTCTTTTCTCCTCATTTGCCTCGGACTTCGTAAAACCACGGCTCGGAGTGGATGCTTTTTTTTCGTGTTTTGTGAAGCACGCGATTCCTTTCCTCTGGGACGGCTGGCTGTTTTCCTCCGTTCCAAACGGTGTATGACGTTAGCAAAACAAAGGAATGAAATTCCTGTAAAAATTCTCCAATCCAAACATGCCCTAAACAATATCTTGAGCAAAATATATGTAAAAAAGGCTAATATAATATACTTGGGCTTGCTGACGTCACCCTCCCAGACTCCTCTTTCCTCTCATTTCCTTTCTCACTCATCTTTTTTTCTCTCGCAGGCTCACCCTGCTTCTCACGAATTTAGGGCATGTTTTGAACACGGAAAAGAATTTATGTTCCTATGTTTTTCCTGTGGAATTGAATTGATTCCTATAAAATTCCTGCACGATTCCTACGAATATTTTTCGCACTTTGTTCCCCTCTGCCTTCTACTGGATCCTTTTGAAACATATATTTCATAAAAGAGGAAGAACCGTACATTCCCTTTTTTTTCTGTATACTTTTGTTTGTCAGTTCGATATTTTCATGACTGCACTTTTTTTTTTGCTTGAGTATTTCTTTTGTTGAGATCTTAAGTCTCATGCTATAACTGTCAATATACTCGAATATAACTATTCAAAACTGTGTCAAATTTGCAATCGCTTCAAAACTCAGATAACGGTTTGTTTGACTTGTTCCGCTGTTACCACTTACCAGAGCTCCTCGACGACGACGGCGGAGTCGGCGAGCCTCCGCCTGGTCCGGTAGCTGCGGTACACCTTCTGCAGCTTGGTCGCCGCGCCACTCCCGCCGCTCCCCGCCGCCGCCGGACGAGGCAGAGCCGCCGCCTCCATTTCCTGACGACTTCGATCTCAGAAGAACGAAGGAACGAGCAACAAAGCAGCTTGGTTTGGTTGCGAAAGAGAGCTCGAGCGCGCGGCGCGAGACAGACCACACACCACAAGACCATATGATGCTACGTTGTGGACAGGAGGTGGAGCATCACATTCCCATTCGCGTTCGTTCTCGTCCTCCATCGCTAGCTCTCGGCTCAGGTCACGCTCAGAGCATATCATTCGTTGGTGCCGGCCGGTCGCTCTCGCTCCATGCCCGATCGGAGCTCGACAGCGCCGTTGGCCTGCGAATCACTCAGACGCGCGCAGCAGGTACGCGTGAGAGCATCGTGTTCTGTGTCGTCCTCAACCTTAATCCTAACCTGAGATCGTGAAGTCGTGGCAATGCCATATGTTAGCGACAACTTCACTAAACATGCATGGATGATTGCCGTATAATTAATAAGTTGCCTGATTACTACTGGTTAGCTTGCCATCTCGTTCTCGGGCGTCCGTCCCATCGGACTTGGCTGCCAGTCTTGCGCAGCGCAGCGGACCGGCCTCTCAACAACAACAACGACGACAAAAAAAAACCTCACTCTGCTCATCTGTCCGTCGTGGCGTGCTGAGATTCCGAGCCGCTCATCGGTCTGCCCCGCTGCGCTCCCTTTCCCACCGCGTCCCATCCCCCGTCCCAGCGTCGCGCCGTGCCCTTCTCCCACCGCGCTGCACCCCATTGCCGGTTGCTCCCATCCCCTGCAAGCGAATAGCGCTGGACACGACTGTGGTCGAGCGAGCAGCGCCGCTGGAGTAGCAGCAACAGGGCCACACCGATAGGCGCGAGCCTAGGCCGCGAGCAGGCGATAGAGAATCGCAGGAGGGGCGTGCCACTGCTGCACCAGCGAGCTCCATGCGCCGCCGTCGACCTCCGGGCCGCCATCGAGCTCCGCAACGACGAGCGTCCATTTATCCAAGCAGCAAGGTGACATTGTACTGAAAGCGCATGTTGCAGGTGTATGTTTCAAGTGTTTCAAATGTTTCAGAGGTACGTTGCAAGTGTTTAATGCGGATGTTGCAAAAGTAGATCGAGACGTTGCATATATGTTGCAATGGTTGTACACGTATGTTGCAAGCTTCTGTTCCCAATGTTTTGCCTATTTTTTTCTAGACTTACGTTGCAAGTGTGCTTATTTGGATGTTCCATATGTTTTACACATACGTTGCAAGTGTTTTATCTGGATGTTGCGTATGATTTACAATGGTTTTCAAGTGTTTTTCATGTGTTTTTGTAAGTGTTTCTGTAAGTGTTTTAGATGTACGTTTCAAATGTTTCATCTGCTTTCAGATGTACGTCGTAAGTGTTTCGTTTTTAGTTCTATTTCTGCTCTAAATATGTCCAAATTTTTCCGTTCGTATCTGGGCCAACCTAACTCATGCGGGGCCCATGTCTGAGGAGCCCCTAATTTTGAACCGGGCCGGGCCTATCTGCTCGTCACGCACGGTCGCACCCTGCGCTCCTCCCCCAAACTGAATCCGCTCTGCTCCCTGCCTCGTCGGCTCCGGCCTGTTCGCGACCTGCCAGTCCCTCCTTGCAGCCGGCCGCTCCCAAATCCACACCATGGCTGGCGGTTCGCTCGCGCCAGGCCAGACTGGTGGAGCCCCGCCCGACCAGCGCAAGTGCAAGGCTCCGGCCCCCGCTGCAGCCGCGGAGGACGAGGCGGAGGTGGAGGAGCTGGAGAGCGAGGTAGCCGATCTGGACCGCCGCACCCTCGAGCACCTCCGCCGCACCGCCACGCGCCTCCCCGACGCTGCCTTCTCCCGCCTCGCCGCGCTCCGCCCTCCCGCACGCCTCGGTACGCCCCCTCTTCCTGCCAGCCAAGCTACCGTGCCGTGCTAGGGTTTGAGACTGCTCCGCCCTCTTGTGTTGTGTGGCGGTGATGCTATTTGTGTGTGTTCCGTGGATTTGTTCTCGGCGGCATACGTGAAGAAATTGTCACTTTAGGGGGGATTAATTTTGGATACGCAAGGCCACCCGGTTTTGCGTGGTTACATTTGGGGAAGCCTTTGTTTATATATATTTGTCTAAAAGCCTATGACTTTGAGCGAGAGTAAAAATGAAGAGATTCATTTTTCCTGGCATGGCAAATTTCTGACCTATATTCAGAATCCATTGTTTGCCTATGGATGTGGTTTAGTGAATTTTCGTACAGCGCTCGGTTGTTAAATGGTACTAATCACCAATTTCCACTGCCTTTGCTAGTTGTGGCAATGCTAATACTCCCCCCATTGCAATTATAGTTCACTTTTACTTTGTCCTAAACCAGGCTTCGTAAACTTTGACCAAGTAAAAATACACCAACAGGTGGATACAGGATAAAAGATCACCTATGAAATATGTTTTGATATTGCATTTATTTAAACCTCTAGTTTTACTATATTTTTCTAAAAACAGTGTCGAAGTTAGAGAAGTTTGACTTTATGTACCAAGTTATGCTTGCACAGTTCAAATATACCTATCAAAATTTAAAAATGGCTAGTCTTTTACATCTGTTGTTGCTAGTTTGCCAGTTGCCACAATTCGCTTGTATTGGTCTGTTATAATTTCAGAAATTGAAAACTCCAACATTTTCAGAGACAACTGATGTTTCCCAGGCTCGGCATGCTTTGATTTATTATGTTATAGTTTTTTATTTATACCATAATAACTGCTAACACGTCCATTGATATTGCAGAAGTTCCAGTTGTCTCGGAAACATCAGTCGCTGAAGATGACCAAGAGCTTGAGAAAGTAAAGATCCTCAAATCCAAGATCAAAGCTAATATTGCGGATTTGCCCAAGGTACTTGAGCAAATAAATGAAACTGTTGCTCGGTGTGAGAGGTTTTGTTAGTATCCATCCTGTGTTTCGAAAGAACTGTTGAGTTTGACACATCTTGCATGAGACTGGCTGATTCAGCATTATGTGTTTAGGTGTATTGGATCAGAAAACATTGTATCTAAGTGTTGTAGTTTCGGCGCTGACCATTTTGTTGCGTGAAATATCGTAGCATTGCTATGTTGAGGAAGCTAATTGTAAGTTAAACCTGGAAGAGAGAGATCTATGGAGCGGAAGTATTTAGGAGGTCTTGCATTTCCTGCATTAAAGATTGAATTTCTGGTAGAGTGATAGGACACCAGGTTGCTCACGGATGCGTGTTTGTTCATGGCGTACTGCATGTGAAGTAATTATCTAAAGAAGATTGTGTGCTTGTTGATGGCTAGTTGACATCCTGACTTTTTAACTGAATTCAGGTGCAGAAAAAGTGTATATTTGTAATCCATAGTAACTCATTTCATCACGCAGACAGCAAGAACCTTTTCTCCCCTAGCTTCACCCTTGACCCTTGACGTGTGTGCTTTTTGTCCTGAAACGATATTCTCTTTAGAGCTGTACGTCAAAATACAGAGCACGAAGAAAACAGAATTCCGAGGGGAAGAGAAAACTTCTAGCGAGGCCCATCTTTGGAAGGAAAAGAAATGATTCCTAGGCCCGTCTGCAATGATGGGCTCAGCACAAAGGCTCTCACTCTGCAGCTACCTGTGTTTGCTGAGGTCTGAGGACCCCTGAAGAACTCTCAATGGTCAATGCAAAACAGGCAAAATACATCATGTTATGCTAAGGCTGCTATACTGGTGTGCTGACTTGAGAGTATACACCTTGTTCTTGATGAATGCATAGCGGTTTTATCTGATGGCCAGCAGACTACTGCTGAGCTCTGAGGACTGACACATGTAATGCTGTGTTCATTATTCCATTTACAAAGGATACAAATATAAAGCAAGTTCCTTAACCACGGTAATGAAACATACTATCACATCTGCTTCAAAGCTATCATATCTGAAATGTGACAGATTCTGCCCATAGCCTATTTCAGTTGGAGAACATTGCACTGTGCTTCTCTGAATGGAACCACAGGACAGCGGAGAAGCAGCATGGACAAACCAGGCATGTGATCTTTGCAGTGCTGAAAAATGATATTCCAGAATAGCAGTAACTGGCCAGCTGAAAGGTTTCGTGCTATTTGCGTGGCATAATAAGCTACTCTAAGTTCCTAACTTGGCTGGGGCAGGGAGGCCTGAATTGACGCAAGCGGTGATGTTGGCGATGTGACTTTAGTGGGGGACAAAGGAGGCAGTTTCCTTGACGCCCACGGAGTTGATGCCCTTGGCGACAGATCCACCATCTCCAGTGCCTGCATCCGGAGCTCCATTGGGTAGTCCTTGACACATCCAATTCTCGGACCAGCCCCAGTGCTCCATTTAAGGGACAGCCTGTGCCCGAGCTGATAGGACTTGGACTCGCTCTTGGATTTCATCCTCTCGAGAATCGCCTTCTGGGGGACTTCGGTGGCTTTAGGGCTTTGCAGACCACCCGATAAGGTCCTTTGGTAGGTTGGCCTGGCTTGTTCTTCAGGAGCGTTGTCTCCTTCATTGCCTTCTGTGGTGTTTGGAGGGGGAACCACTTGTGGAAGACCTGGTTCCATGATAGCTGAAGTAAACTTCTGTGAGTCATTAGGCACTGGATCTTCGTTGTAGTCTTCTCTGGTGGATGAGCGCACCTGCGACCAAAAACAAAGCTCACTAAATGAAACCATCTACCATTTGGTGGCACGAGCATAATTTCAACTGTTAATGTTTAAGATAGTGTACCTCAACTTCTTTGAGGTCGACTCCATTCTCTTCAAGGAAGTTCATGAAATTGCGGAGGTTCTCTGCACTAGGTTTGTAGTGACCGCTGTACGCCCAGATGGACTTAATCCAGAACAAATAAAAGAATTAGCCAAGTGCATCAATGAAAAAGTACACTAACATGGTGTAATCAAAGTAACAAACTGAGATTGTTATATGCCGCATAGCTCAAAAGTAGAAGGATGCAACATAGTCATCTAGAGTCCACATCAGCTTGCACAGTGGTTGAATCAAGATAAGTAGATATCTGATGTGTACTAGACATTAGTAGATTCAGAAACTATAGTTACCAATAGACTGCCAAAAAAGTTGTGCAAAATATACTCTATACATGGATATCAATGTTCTGGTTTATATTTCATATTATATCAATGTTCTGGTTTATATTTCATATTTGTCCTTTACAAACGGATTGTCAAAAATAGGTAATCATGTGAACCTATGAAACAGAAAAGAATGGTCTGGAGGATCACGCACAGTGAATGAATCAACTCATAGACACAAATAAAACTTTTTGACCAAAAGTAAGAATAGCACAAGCAGGAATACAAGTAAGTAAAATACTGTGATACAAAACAAACATTCCAGTAGGCATTGGTCGCTAAAAATAATACCTTGATTACTCCATTTTCTGCAGTAAATCTTCCAGCAGCTATAGTTGCACCTCCTGCCAAAAAGCTGGAGTGCTGGAATACGCCTCTCTGTTTCTGATGGATATATAGAAATAGGTTTAGCAGAAGTAAAGTAGCGAAATGCAACAAAGGTATAATATTGTTTCAGCAGAGTGCAAAGTCATTGTAAGACAGTAAGAGCAGACAAAATACCATGCCAGCATAAAGTTTTTTTTTTGTACTCATAACAAATATCCATTTAGTCCCCTTAGGACCCCTTGTATCAAGTGGTTCTCCAGACTGTTTATGGATAACTTTTCCCTCGTTAATGATGTATTCATAATGCTCACGCTCTTGCTGCAAAACAATGGACAAATGTAGTTTTATTAGTCATCCAAAGAGTCTGTTAAAACTTAAAACAAACCCCTTTTCCTGTTGTTAACTATGTTTAACGTTGCAAAAAAAACAATTGTAGTTTTATTAGTCATCCAGATTGATGAACAAATGAAATATAATGTGAATAATAGCAGGCCAGGGTGTGATTGGATTCCATTCATATTTCAGATGTAACAATAATGCAGACTTGAGGCTACATCAAATGCAGTTCATACATAAAACAGTTTTATTTTAGTCACTTGATGAAACATACATGTTTTATTTGATAAAAAAAATAAAGACAAACTTGGGGAAAAGTTTTTTATTAGAAAAGATAGTGATAATTACACCGACATGAGATTTTGTGGATGAAGTAAGTCAAGCCATCTTACTGCTCTTCACAGAAAAGTTTCAGCAAGGATATATGTCACAGACTCTAAATAAAGATAGGCAGCCGTTGGTGGAACGTATCTTACCGGACCAAGATACCTAATGCATTGCTTCTTTAGTAAAGCTCTTGGACATTCAGGAAGGTCTAGATCCTTTCCTTCTCCAACATCAAGCCTACATATGAACAAAAACTAACTTAAATTGTCATGCCATCAAACTGATAACTGAAATTCCAGGTATGAACAGACATTCCTATGGTAACTGAAATCTCTGGTACGAGTAGACATTTGAATATGTACATCTCTTTTCCATCTGCTGTGCCGATTGTGCTATTTTGTCCAAACAACAGAATTTGCCAATGTGATTACAGCTTCTGGAATTGCAGTGAGGTTCTTACCAATAGAAGAATGGCTGGCCTGCTTGGCTTTTGCACCATTCATCATAGTAGAAGTGCAGGTTGTGCCCATATCTATGCCGCGGGTCGATCTACACAGAACAAATGAATACAGCTATAAAGGCTCCATTGCAATCTAGCATTGCAAACAACTGACTATCACTGTATCAAAGAAACGGAGGCCTCGTTTAGTTGAGGCCAGAATCGGCGCCGACATAGCGCCTGTAGCTACAGTAACATTTCGTTTGTATTTGGTAATAATTGTCCAAACGTTGACTAATTAGGCTCAAAACGTTCGTCTCGTAAAGTACAACCAAACTATGCAATTAGTTTTTGATTTCGTCACATTTAGTACTCCATGCATGTACCGCAAGTTTGATGTGACGGGGAATCTTCTTTTTGCATAGTGCCAAATTTTGGATTTGGGATGAACTAAACAGGGCCGGACATAACTTTTATGAGCTGAACAGGTGGGCATTTTTATGAACCATGTTCACACATGACTAAAGTCCAAGTCAATTGATAATGGAAAGTAGCCTCCTTTCACACAGACGCATAGGAACACCACCAAATCCAAAGCAATTGTACTAAACTAAAAGGCGGTACTAGTGGATTATTAGTACGGTTATGTACTCACCGCTTCGATCCAGTGCTGGAAGGCCAGCTTGAGGGCCTTGCCGTCTCTGGATAAACCCTGACCCACCTGTTGCAATTGCAAGCCAGTGACATGAGCAACAGGAGTCAGGAGGACTAAAGAAGTCTGAAGCAAATTGGTTTGTGGTGAACACGAGGGGCTTTTCTCTGGTAGTGGTAGCAATTGGGAGTTGACCTTGGATGCGTTGAGGCTGACGCGGTTCCAGCGCGAGGCAGCGGTCTCCGGCTTGGGCTCGTCGAAGAAGGAGACGGTGCTGTGCTCCAGGCGCGCGTAGTCCAGCGCCTGCCACCTTCATTGATCATCCCAATCACAAATCCTATCAGTCTCAATCAAAACTCTACCTCATCAGGAAAAAAGAAAACTCTTTTGTAAAGTGTAACCGATTTCCAACACCCGTAACGTAACATCAAGAACCAAATTTAGCCAAACCAACCCCCCAAATCTCCAAGAACCAAATGAGTGGACTTCCGATGGAACGGAACGCAACACACGATCCAGCAAGAACCAGGGAAAAGCCAATCCCCAAGAAGACCAAAGGGGGTCGCATGCCGCCGCTCTTGTTCAGCACCAAATCGAACGGAACAGAGGGGAAGGAACCACATGTCCACACCACCAGAGGCATGGGCCCCGGAGAGGAAAAGGATCCGGAGAAGATGCCATACCAGAGCTCCTCGACGACGACGGCGGAGTCGGCGAGCTTCCGGCGGGTCCGGTAGCTGCGGTACACCTTCTGCAGCTTGGTGGCCGCGCCATTCTCGCCGGCCCCCTTCACCGGCGAGGGAGGAGGCTCCAGCTTATCCGGCCTCGCCGCCTCCACCTCCATTCCTCTGAGATTAGGGAGGGAGGGTCCGACGCGCTAAACTTGGACCGAGCCGGCAATTAGTTCGTCCGCGGAGGCGGAGGGCGAGGGCGAGAATGGCTCTGCGCCCGGCACTCGTGCAGTGTGGGAGTTTAATCCGTGGATTAACACGCGAGCCGAGGCCGAGGGAATAATTAAACGCGATTAGTCTAGAACTAACGGGGAGCAGGGCGGGGATCGGGGCATCGCATTCGCGGGAGTAACGGGAACCGGTCGGCTGTATTAAAGCGGCTGATAAGTTAGGCCTCGTTTAGTTGCACCAATTTTGCATCTCTAAAATTTGCACAGTGTAAGATTTTTCATCACATCATATCATATCAAATCTTTGACACATGCATGAAGTATTAAATGTTGACGAAATTAAAAACTAATTACACAGTTTGGTTGTACTTTACGATACAAACGTTTTGAGCCTAATTAGTCAACGATTGGACAATTATTACCAAATAAAAACAAAGCGACACTGTTGCTACAGTATTTCGGGCGGCGTAAATTCTGTCAACTAAACACGGCCTGGCCTTAGTTGGAGTTGTTTTTGTTACTAGAGGAGAATACTGTAGTCTGATAAGTCTTCAACATGCCGGACAACGACGACGTGGCGGAGGGTGGCGCCATAACTGCACGTGGCAGGCCCACTTGTCATCATGACGTGGCTGGCCCACTTGTCATAAAGTAACTAGTGCATGAACGAGGGGGAGCATATGAAACCACTATTTTTTTTTGCTTGACAAATTGTGGCTTCTTTAGATATATAGCAAGGAGTTAAAATTGTTGTTGGAAGCGAAAGGTCCATAGGCTAGTTTCAAGAGTCTCGATACCACTCTAGGTCTTGAATTCGACTTTTGTGGAGCATATATTTTATGATTTAATGGCGTTTATGCTTTTCGTGGTAGAGAACGTTAACTTCGTCAATCTCAAGGATTTGTCAGCTCATGAATAGAATTTACGTGCATGTGTTCGTAGAGGTGAGTGTGTGTATTATGAGCGTCTGCGTTGTACCGTGTAATTCTAAAAAAAATTGTTGTTTGAAGCCATACCACATTGGACTTTTATGTATAAATAACACAAGGGAGAAAATGAGTGATGGATAAAACAACATCCCTTATCGTATAGCACAAGTGAGCGATAGGTAATGGCTCTGTTCGCTGGTTGGTTTTCTAGGCTGATAAGCCCGGCTAATGCTAGTTTGTTGTGAGAGAAAAATAGTGTTGACTGGCTGATAAGTCCTGGCTGAAACCAACAAGCGAACAGGCTGAATGTACGAAACTTTTTAAGTATACTGGTCATATATAATAACTCATCCAGATTTGTAAACGGAGTGCAAAAGTGTTTCATCTTAAGGCCCATTCTAATTAGGCCTAATGTTCGCCCGATCTAAATTTAGCCACTAAATTTTAGCTCTTGATGACTAATTCTATAGAAAATAGTAGTAGTATTGCTATTATTTTCGATCTATATAAAATAAATAAGCTGGTACTAGTTATTTGTAGGAAAAGTCCAATTTACTCTCCTTAAGTTTGACATTGGTTCAGGTAACCCATAAACTAATATTTAGTTCGATTTACTCCAAACTACTGAGTTGGTCTAGTTTACCTTTTTACAAGATTTGTTATCTTTGTTTTTGCATGTATAAGTTAAGTTTTCACATCATTTTTTTGAGGTGGTAGAAAACATTATGAGTTATTAGGAAAATATATTATTTTATGCCACTATGTTAGTAGCTTAGGAAAATTATAATAAATGACACTAGAGATACAATATCATACAAAAAAAATGATGGAAAATTCATAATGTATGGCAGGTTAGAGCTGCTTTGCCACTAACTATTGATTGTATGGGATGTTGTGTGGGTGTGTGCCTAGGTTACCGGTGTGTCCCTAGGATATGGATATGTCCCGTGTTGTGTTGAATTTCTCTTTTTTTTTTTTAATTGAGCGGCAGAACAATTGCCTTTTTATTCAAAAAAATCACTGCTACAACCTCATAAATTTGAAACTAAAACACAATCTGTACATAGAGAGAAAAAGAAAATTCTTTTTAAGATATAAATTAGATCAACTGAAATAGTTGGAGGAAGTAAATTGAACTAAATGTTAGTTTAGGCATTGGGTAAATTTGGAGAGAGTAATTTGGATTCCCCCACCCCCGGCGAGGGAAGACTGACCGAGTCAGTCAGGGACAAGGAGAGCACTGGCACGCGCTTGCCCTGCGTTGTGCGGCTCGCTCGCTCCTTACTGGTGGCCCGTGTGAGGCCTCACCGGAGCGTGTTTGACCGGCGCCCGGCCGGCGACCGACAAGACGTGCATGGTGCGCCGTGCCGGGGTCATGCATGCCCACCCACGCGGGGCAGCGGTCGCTCTCCGCGCCGGATCGGGACGGGACGAGGCTCTGGCCGCCGTCGCCGTCGTGGATTCGTGGCCGCACATTGACATGCGCGCAGCTACGCTGGCTCTTAGGCCGTGTTTAGATTGAGATTAGAAATCAGTATTTGCTACTGTATCATTTTTGTTTGTATTTGATAATTATTGTCCAATCATGACCTAACTAGGCTCAAAAGATTCGTCTCGTAACTTACAATTAAACTGTGTAATTAGTTATTTTTTATCTATATTTAATACTCTATACATGTGTTTAAAGATTTGATGTGATAGAGAGAGTAAAAAAACTTATAATCTAAATAAGGCCATAGCTACTGGTGTGAACTGAATCAGCGTCCTCCATTCCATTTCCATCGGTCGGTCTGCATGTTGCAATTGCACGAATCATGTGGGTCCGTCAGCACCTCGCGTTATGCTAGGCTAGCCAGTAGCCACGGAGCGGATGCGCTGTCCGTGCCAGCCAAACAAATATTACTGTTTTCTTCTAAATCAAACACTATTATTTTTTACCGTTCTTTTTATAAAATAGTATAGTTTCACAGCATTTGAATTATAGATATGTAAATATTTTTTATAGTGAATCCAAAAATATAAATATTATGTTATGACCTTATCTAATATTTTTTAAACTGATGGTCAAAGGAAACGGAGAGAATACATCTTCCCTCTCAACATAAATACACTCGTAGGATTTTTGGGGAAAAAAATCAGTGTTACATGAAAACTACATACTTTACTCTCATCAAAAGCTGTCTCAACATGTTATGATTGCACTTTAGAAATAGATAAAGTAAAAAAAAAAGTAAATTGCACGGCCGGTCCTTAAAGTATTGAGTGGTTTTCATCTAGGTCACAAAACTATGAAATCGTACGTGCGTTTATACGCCTAATGTATTTAAGTGATCTCATTCAAGTCCAAAATAGACACGAGAAGGGTTAGAAGTTGACGTGGTGGTCACATGGACATGATTTGAACATAAAAACCCGAGCCGAGGGTCCACGGTACCCAGTGTCCACTTCCTCCTCCGCCGCCGACGGGGACGCCGCCATCCCGCTCGAGCGTGGAGGCTCTGAGCGGCCTCTCCGCCATCCCGCTCGAGTACGTCCGCCCCGCCGACGAGCGAGCCGGCCTCGGGACGCCGACTGGCGCGCACCATGCCAACGACCACACCGCGCGCGCTGGATCCCGTCGTCGACATCCCCCCCCTTCTGGGCGCCACCAGCAGACCCGGCCGGCGGTGGGAGCAGCGTGTGTGGAGGCCATGCGCGTTGCCGCCGCCGACTGGGGCGTCATGCCCATCGCCGGCCATGGCATCCCCGCCGAGCTCATGGACCGCCTCCGCGCCGCCGGAGCCGTCTTCTTCGCCCTCCCCATCCAGGACAAGGAGCCCTCGCCTTAGCGACCCCGCCGCCGGCCGCCGCGAGGCTACGATAGCCGCCCGCCACCAACACCCAGGCGGCGCGAGTGGGAGGACTACCTCTTCCACTGGTGCAACCCGATGGGGCTTGCGACCACGCGCTCGCCCGCGCACCCGCCCAACCACGTCCCCGCCACCCGCGATGATGTCGCCGAACACGGAGCCGACCTCCACGCTGCTTGCCATCCTCTCCATGGGGCTCCTCGGCCCGCACCATGCGCACGCACTAGAAAAGGCGCTCATCACCCACTCCTAGGCGAGGCGGAGAGCGAACATGAACGAAGCGGCGGGACCTCGACCTCCTCCGGTTCAAGATCAACTACTACCCGAGGTGTCCACGGCGGAGCTGGCCATCGACGCCGAGGCCCACACGGACGTCAAATAGCTTGCGCTCGTAGCTCATCCACATCCTTACGCTTCTCCTCGACCCGGTCGCGCGTCGTCTCTAGCGTCGAAATCGATTGACGTCGGAGTTTTGCCGCTGCTGTCTGGCCATCGCCGCCACCACAAGCATCTCCGCCGTGGCCAGCCCGCTCTGAAGAGTTTGGTGGCGATGGATAGCGAGAGCGACCACAGCACAAGCGCACGCCCACACCTTGCCAGGCGCCAGCGCCGCATGGCACCGCAGAATCGGATGCCTAAGCGTGCCGACCGCCCACGCCGGCACCAAGCACCACGTAGCCTCGCCACCGCTCTGGCGGCGTGCCCCAATACGTGGCGCGATGCCGATCGGCGACGCGATGATGAGCAAGAATGCGGCGTCGTGAACCATGGCAGCGCGGCGTCCGGGTCGTCACGCCCCGCGACGTAGTACCACCGGACGAAAGCAGCGCCGCGGGCTATCATCATGAAGATGAAGAGCGTCTTGACGGAGAGTAGGCTAGAGAAGAGGGCGTGCACGGCGCTGCAGACGGCAATGAGCGCGATGGCGTGTACGGGGTGCCGGTCCTCGGGTGCACCAGGCGCGAACATGGGCGGGATGATGTGGCTCCACGCGATGTGGGTGGTGTAGCGCGCCCGCCCGGTAGCGCCCACCGAGATAATGCGGTGGCCATCCCTTGAGCGCGCCAGGCGCCACCGCATCTGCGCGCCCAGCGTATCCCCACGTTGGCTTAACGCCACCGAGTAGGCGGCGCTGCGGTCGATGGCGTGTACGGCTGCATCATGC